TAGTCTGGTTTGAAGAAGGCTTGTATTTCAGTAGCTTGCAGTACAAAGTTATCTTTTGATCATGAACTTTGCTGTCCAGTGGCTGAAAAATTAAACCTGGAAAACTCCCTGAGTTAAGCCTAAAGAAATATGCACCACCAGTGGAGAGCAATGCTAATGTTTAACTAGCTGAAATAGCTGTTTGCTTAGTGGAGAATGTGAGGTATCTGACAGAAGGGACATCTCTCTTATTAGTAATCAAATAGGGCTGACCAGTTGTTGCCATCACTCTGGGATTGTGTCAGGCAATTGAGAACAAGTTCACCACTTTATAGAACTCGAAGTACAAAAAATCAATATAATTATATTTGTCTTTAGTGTTTTAGCTATGGAAATCATATAGCACTGGATTGTTGCCTTGCGAGCTGAATTTATTTCTGCTTTATTGGCTGAAAAATATTTGGAAGTGGAGGAATCTTGGCGGCGTGGTAAATGCGAGACAGCGCGTTACAGTTTTTATTCTTGGATTACGGGCATGTTCGTTGTTCAGAGTTTTCCAGAGATGTGTGACTTCTGCAGATGTAAACGGGGAATTGCATTAAAGTGTGACTACACCAGAACACGATGAAAATGAACGGGGAATGAAAATTAGAATAATATTTTGCTATTATGTGCTCGGTCGGACTTTAATTTAGAGCTATGGTCGGAGTGATCATTTCGTGCCTATTGAACGTACACTGAAAAATGCACAAGTAGTTTATGTTTATAGTCCGTACGCACGATGAAACGCGGCACACATAACATTTTTCAATGATTAGGGATTATAATGATGTATACATAATAACGTCCTGGAATTGCTGTGCGATAAATTAGACCAGTCCTGTGAAGGGTGGTCCTGGCAAAACTGAAGCAGGCTATACAATACGAGGGCTTTTGTACCTTCCCCAAACTATGGGAAGTACGTTACAATTTGATATTCCAGAAGCATGAGAAGATATAAAAAATCAGAAAACATTTGGTTAATGGGTTTATCATGTTTATTTGAATAAGGAAGATTGAAACTCCATTTATGCCTAGCATAAATGCTTTAGAGATCTTAATTATTGATGAAAAATCTGCTGTGCTTCTAAATTTAAAGATATGACAATTTTATAGGAATTTTAATCACCTTCTACATTAGGAATTTTCAAGATTCGGTTTTTATGAGGGTGGCATGTATTTTAGCCTTCTAAAGAGAGTTGTCACTTATCACGTCAAAAGGCTAGGAGAATTTGGTTGCACGCTGCGTGCGGCTCAGCGAGGAGGTCGGCGCGACGCTCTAAAACACTGTCGAATGCAACGTTTGCTACGAGCAAATTGCAGCAAATGTAGAAGGAAAGCATGGGCGTGAAAAAGCTCTGTAAGAGCAGGAGTCCCCTGAACCAACCGACGCGCATTTTCAGTCCCCCATATGAATGCTTGCTCCATCCGTGTCTTAATAGTTTGTTACTTAAATTTGTTGTCGGTGTTGAATTTCGGGTTTGTGTTTCCTCTTGAGCATCCCAGAACAATATTTCCCCATCAAATTTGTGGGTCAATTTACAGTTTCCCATAAGAAGTGTTAGTATTTGCTTAGTTGGCTTCAAAAAAGAATTATATACAATATGCTTCGCCAGATCCTTTTGTCCTTTGGATACATTCAGCAGCTTTTGACCAGATAAGGCATATTTGTCCTCAGGATACGAACCAATAATTCAATCCTGAATTGAGATCTATGGCCACCCATTTGTTCCAGCCCACACTAGGAGTCCCTGTGATAGTCTGAATTGTTTATTGCACCGGGGGAAAAAAAAAAAAAAGAAAAGAAGGAAAAAACCCCTTATGCACCTCAGGAATAATAATTTGTTAGCAATTAAAATATTTTAAATAAATTTCTGTAATTGTACCTTTGCATCCTGCAGCGGGCTTTAAATGTGAAAACAAAACCAGAGGCCTTGGAAGCAGCTTTCCGTGTCGCATGCCTCTGCGACCTTTTAATTCACTGAGAATTTTTATTTACGTCGACTGGGTGTTTCTCACGAAGCATGGCTGAGTGGATACACTTTTATTACTGTATACATTTAAGTATCTTCTGGCATATCGGGGCTATTCATACAGCACAGTAACTCACGTATTAAAGAACAAGCCCACCATAAATTGCAGCGCAGTCAGTAAAAAGATGCCACAGAAAAAGTGTCCCTGGGAAATTAGATTGACCCAAAGAAAAGCAAATAAAAGAAAGGAAAAGGCCCATATTTTCTTTGCGGTGTTGCTGAAAAGGATGGGAGTATCATTTTCATAGTGGAATAATGTTTTCTGGGAAAACACAAAAGCAGATGTTCCTCATTAGGAACACCCATTGTCTACATATCACAACTATGAACAGATAAATCTCTCCTATTTCACCCATACATTCCAAGGGCTGTAAATGATTACAGGATGCCGCTGTAACTGCTAAACCAAAACCACACTCTGTGCTAAATAATTCCTCGGTGCCACCATCGCATGTTTCATTAGAAGGTATGGAAATCCCTGCTAAGATCCATCCTCTCGACTTTTCCTTTCCTTGTTGGGCTCAGATGTGCCCAAGGGCTGGGGGTGCCAGTGCGGCGATCGCGTGCTCGGCAGCGGGTTTCCAGATGGTACCATCACAGTCCTACTGCTAGTTGGCATCTCCGTGGGTAGTAAATACCCCCCTCCCCAATAAATCTGGCATTATTCTATAGAGTTTAGGAGACTTATCATTCCAAGTGTGTCCTACTTTCCTGTATGGAAGCCAGACATCTGTTTATCCCATTTCTTTCATACGGAGTTTGGAATAGCTTTAGTTTGGGGGAATAAAAAGTTTTGTCATATTTAACAGCTGTTACAAAATTTCAGCCCCGTAGGCTCTTAAAATACTTTTCGACTGACCTCAGATTTTGTAGATAATTGACATTGCTGGTAGCCACCCCCTTTAACCTTTCCCTGGCTGTAATTTCAGATTATTTTCCCTAAACGAGTTGACTGTTCACGCTGGGGCTCGTTGGCATTTTGTTGGTTTTTAGTTGTTTTTTTTTTTTTTTTTTCCCCCGCTTCCCAGTGCGCCGGCTTCCCAGTGCCGAGCTTTAAGTCCTTCCTACTCCAAGTTTACACCTTCGGCGGGGCTGCAGAGCGGCGGCTGGAGGGCGAGGGGGGTTTTTTCGTCAGCAGCGTTTCCTTTCACTTCCCGTCACAAAGGTGAGAGCCGCTGACCTTTGCTGGCAGTCCCGGCCGCTGAATTATTCATGTGATTGACTTTTTGTCAGTGCACACAGTTGTGCTCTGGGACATTTTATTCATTTACCTCATTTAAAGCGCCTTTCTGCACCTGTTCAAGTATTAATATCATGTAATTTGGGCCTAATGCCGATTTTGCTGAACACTCATTATATTTTTTATTAGCTATATTTCCAAACGATTATGTATGATTATTACCAAGCCTTACAAACAGCAATGGGTTATTCCCTAGACCTTTACATCTTCTTGTCAGGTTGTTTTCAGAAGCAAGGAGGATAAACATTTGACCAGTCCCAATGTTTTTATTCCTACTCCATATCCAACCAGAGAACTTAAAGCTTTTTCCCTTATGGCTTTGCGAAAGCATGATTAAATCCAACTCTGCAGAAGCTGTACAAATGCCAGCATTTATAAGGTCAACGCTTTTGTTAAAAATGCTATGTAAATGAGGATCTGCAAAAAGGGACATTAAATAAAATTAAATTCATTGTCTTCTTTAATGTCATTTACATTTTGGCTAAGCCCTGGCCTGTCAAGGAGGATTTTTTAAATAATTTTAATTACACATCATTTAGGGATCCAAGGTTTTCTATTCAGTAGCATTTGGATAACCTGCAAAATGGTGACTGTTTATTAACTTCTTAAATGACAACTTGTCATTTCATCTGCATAATGCAATGAAAACAGGCCAGTTTGGTGTCATTTTTTAAAAATTCTTATTTTTCTTTAAGATGGGCACCCAACTACTGGAAGAATAGACCGTAAAATAGCTCGGCTGCTCTTTTGCTTTCATTGTCCTGTTGGTGCTACTAAGTTCGGAGTGTATTAAAAAATTACGACTTTCCTGGGCAACCAGTTCTTCAAAAAATTTCCATC